TTGTTATTTTATCTTAATTCTACTGTTATATCCCTAATTTTTTTATAATAGAATTATCCAATTCCGTTTATAAACAACTGTTTTAGTTTGATATTCTTCTCTTTGTTACAATCTTTGTAATTCTGTTTTTAATTAAACAATTCTCTTAATTCAGTCTACTTTATTCTCAATCTAACCTAATACAACTTAATTCCTATTCTTAATTCAGTCTACTTTATTCTCAATCTAACCTAATACAACTCAATTCCTATTCTTAATTCAGTCTACTTTATTCTCAATCTAACCTAATACAACTTAATTCCTATTCTTAATTCAGTCTAGTTTATTCTCAATCTAACCTAATACAACTTAATTCCTATTCTTAATTCAGTCTACTTTATTCTCAATCTAACCTAATACAACTTAATTCCTATTCTTAATTCAGTCTAGTTTATTCTCAATCTAACCTAATATAACTTAATTCCTATTCTTAATTCAGTCTAGTTTATTCTCAATCTAACCTAATACAACTTAATTCCTATTCTTAATTCAGCCTACTTTATTCTCAATCTAACCTAATACAACTTAATTCCTATTCTTAATTCAGTTTACTTTATTCTCAATCTAACCTAATACAACTTAATACCTATTCTTAATTCAGTCTACTTTATTCTCAATCTAACCTAATATAACTTAATTCCTATTCTTAATTCAGTTTACTTTATTCTCAATCTAACCTAATACAACTTAATACCTATTCTTAATTCAGTCTACTTTATTCTCAATCTAACCTAATACAACTTAATTCCTATTCTTAATTCAGTCTAGTTTATTCTCAATCTAACCTAATATAACTTAATTCCTATTCTTAATTCAGTCTAGTTTATTCTCAATCTAACCTAATACAACTTAATTCCTATTCTTAATTCAGTCTACTTTATTCTCAATCTAACCTAATATAACTTAATTCCTATTCCTGTCCCTATCCAAACAAAGTTTCTCCATTTCGATCTTCAAAAGAATCTGAAAACATAAGTGATTTGATGTTTTACGAATATTTTATTTAAAAATGTGCACCACTAAGAAGTTTACTGAACGGACCAGCGCTTAACAAGATGGATTATTATTATCATTATTCTTAATTCAAACTTTGAATATTCTCATTGCAAACTAGTTGCTCCTAATCAGTGAGTTTATGATAATTCATACATTTGATTCATTTAAAGTTAACCAACCTCTGTATTCAAAATAAAGAGACAAGCTGTCTCATGGAGTATTCAAACTACATGTTAACATCATAAGTTTATTTTCATTATTCTAAAGTTACCCATCGTCCATTTTCAAAAAAGTGGGACATCCTGTTGAGTATTTCATATCTAACTACACATTGTTATATACTGTTATATTGTTATTCTGTTTATATCTGTGGTTAGCTTTAAGCTATTAAGACAACATCGTCACTTATTTTTTTTGTCATATAAATTAAGGTCTTATCTTTATTTATACTATTATTATAGTGTTATATAGATATACCAGGATTGTTATTTTAAATATACCTTACTTAACATAAATATGAAATATTTAAATTTAAAATGAAGTGTACTTACCAAATTATTTTAACAGTTTTAACATTGACCAGTATTCAAGTCTACCATTTAACAGTTGGATTATAGACAACCCTGAAATAAAAATATAACAGTTAGATCCAAGATTTGAAAATATTACTAAAGTTTTAAAATCAAATTGTTGAATGATCTTTTAAATTGCTGCTCCAGTGAAAAATGGGAGCTAATGGTTTGGATTTTTTGATTTTTTTTGAAGAAACACTTTATTCAACTAAACTTATGTATTTACCAGTCATGTCTGACAAGATCTATCAGATGCTGATTTACAAATCACATCAGTGATTAAATAAAGCTTC